CATTTTCAGGGTAACACACAGAGAACTAATCATGCAAATCCAGACTCAAGGGAAATAAGCCTCGGTTTCTTCATCTGGTGTTCTGAAACTCAGCCAACAATACAGACAACCAAAATCCCTGAGGTGACAAAGTGCATTGTTGATTTGTAGGCAATGTATATTGGATTACTGGAGGCTCCATACCGTGAAATGATTAGAAACCAGTAATTAGTTGGTGATGGAGGTATAATTTGGTTCAGAATTCTGAAGCCAGATAAAATAAACTGATTAAAAATAATGCACTGTTAACTCAGTCCCTTGTGCAATTAAAAATTAAAACTCCTAGAACCTGACTAAAGCAGCTAGAAAGGCCTTCTAACGGCAGGAAAAAATTGCAACCATTTAAAAATGTCCGCAACTAACAGTAGGATTTGGTCCTGGAAATTTTATTTCTTTAAAGACAGAAGGATATGCTACTGCTCTTCACCCTGGAGAGCCCTCACCCACTTAAACGCAGCTTAATCTTTGGATGGTACAACATGAATGTGCTGGAACTAAACGGTGCCTGGCACAAGTGAGCAGCTCATCAGAAGATGTTTTTTTGGTGTAACAGTACTTTGGAAAAATACTTGCTGCAGGTGTTCTGAAATCAGCTGGGGTTTTTCAGGAGCTACTTGATTTAATTTTCAGGTCCCTGCTGTGATCACACAGACATAATCTGGAAAGTCCCTCACAAGCACTTAGCTTCTGCAGGTGTTAAGTGGCACAAGATAGCCCTATCAGGCGTGTGTGACTTTTTTGGCCAAATTATGTGATTTCCCCATCTTTTTTGTAGTTGAAACTATGGCCAGGACACTGCACTGATTTGGGTTTTGCTGGTTAGCTCAGTGGTTTGAGTGCGGTGCTGGCAATAAGGATCAACACCGAGGTTGCGGGTTCAATTCCCGCTCTGTCCCCATGTGTTGCCTGGTCTAGTCGAGAGGTGGCGTCCCTGCCCATGACAGGGAGGTTGGATTAGATGATCTCTAAGGTCCCTTCCAGCCTAGGCCATTCTGTGATTCTATGATTCTAGGAATTCAGCTTTCCTAGAGGACACAGAGGGACATAGCTAATGAAATGATGCCTCAGTACAGCAGCATTTATGGGAGACTTCTGCCAAATTCTAGCTTTGTAGAAACGACACGTGTAACCTGAGACGTCCATAAAATTGAAGAATCAAAAGATGACCACCCTTTGGCAGCAGGGAGAGCTGGAGGAGGTCATAGAGGTTGCTCAGGCCAGAAGAGCTGGTTCCTGTGCCACCTGACCAAACAGCTATAGACACTGCTCACTGCTTTAAAAGTCTTCTATGAAGGCTTTTTACATTTCAGGGAAAGAAAAACAAACAAGCAAAAACCCCCACAACTAAAGATTTTGAGAAGGCTATCTTATCACTGTATCCTGCTAGCCACAATCGCTTGAAGAAGAGGACTCATTCCAAGCAACCAGTGTTGGCACTCAGTGCACAGGCTAACAGCAGGAGAAGCAGAAACCAGAGGAGGAAAATAACAAATTTAAAAGCAACTCTGCTTTAAAATAACTTCTATGCAAAACCTAGGTACATAGTGACAGCTCTGGTTTTCAGAGGTCACAGAAGCCCTCAGCACGTCACCTGTCTGGAGCTTCTCCAGGAACTGAACGAATTATGCACTTAGGATTGCAGAGCAGCACTTCACAATTGCATTTACAAAGAAATTTACCTACACTGCTGCACAGAGAAGTCTTTGTTCTCCACCTTTATCCAGCTTTCTAAAGAAATTACACTGTTTGTGTATACCTCACCCAGCAAATTCTAAATGTGTTAGCCATTTCCAAGCAAACTGAAGGAGCAGGAGCTGTCTCAGCAAGAGTTAAAATCCTCCATGGTCAAACAGCTGGAGAGAAGCCTTCACAGTATTCCCATAAGGCAGAGGATGCAGTGTGAGAATAGCTCGATTAGACACAAGAAAACCTGTGCAGGACAGAGGCCAAATAAATGCCCAGATCACAGGAAAAACTTCAACAAGAGTTTGGAATAACTGAATCCTTTGTTACAAAACCAAAGGTAACAAGGTTTCTTTAGTTTGGGGTTCATGAAACTGTTATTGTGAGCCGAAATAAAATTTCACCCGCTTCTTTATATCAGATACATGATGCCTTTTTTTTTTTCTCCCAACCTTCTTATAAAATGTAATTAATTTATATTTTAAAGACCTTAATGGGTTTTCTCTCATCATGGAACAGTAAGTGAGATTAATAACCCAGTTACTGAGCACTTAAGATCATGGATTATTTCCATATAAAAACATTAGCACTTTCTTAATTTTTAAAATATGCCTTTTATTTGATTTAGAGGTTAATGCTCATTTCTTATGTAACAAAAGGGAGAAAAGCTAAAGCATGAGTCAGTGTTTATTAACCTTGCTAATAAGACAGGCTTTTTCAGGCAAGATGGATATATCTTAACTGGTAAAACTGTTGTGTTGTCATTTAGCCAATTAATCCTTTCCAGATAAGGGAAGCACCAACAATTTTATTCGCACTGAGTGAAAATAAACTTGTCACATTCTGCATATCAATTTACACATTCTTACTTTCCCACTTAAACCAGTAAGAATGCAGCCCTTTGATTCCTAAAATAAGGCAGTCCTCAAATTAACATTAGAATGTACAGAGATATGGCTACATACAACATATTAACTGATCCTAGTTTGCAATCTGTATGTAAACTCAATCTGCACATTCATGGGATTAATCTAGAACTGCACGCTCCATTTCCTTCAAAGGAGTGTGTTTTGCATCTTCAGTAGAGGCATAAAAAAAGCAGATTAAAACATGCCTTAAACTGTTTTCCAGAGTTTGTAAAAACATAGCCTTGAGGCCGAAGTTTGCCCTGATGCTGTTTTAAATAACACTGATGTCCAATGTTGACATTTCACACAATTGCTATTGAATCCTGCTGGCTAAGCCTTATAAAAGACCCTATAAAGCATCGAGTGTTTATTAATAGGTATTAGCGGTCTGTTAGAGACAACTATATATATGTCTTCTACACACAAAAAAAGCACTCCCGAATTTACGCTTTGGTTCAGTACACTATAAACGATAATTCAGATAAAAACAACCGTCAGAAATATTCCAGTGCACTGGGCAATGTTACACCAAAAGCTTAATTTCCATTACCTCACTCCTTTCTCTTCAGATTCATTTTCTGTAATACCTCAGTCCTTTCCATGAAACACTGAACAGGCATAGAACTCTGAATAACCACCAACTGCAGGTTGTAACTCTTAACAGTTTGTATGTATCCCATTTCTGAAAGTCGACTGAGAATACTTAAGTGGCCTCATATATGAAAATCTAAGACTTCCAATTATTTAGCCAAACTTCATGTTCTTAGACACAGCTGGATGACCTCTTGATAGCTTATCACCTTGAGAAGAGGCCATCTCATATTACGAGGTATCCTGGAGGGATATAATGCACAGAAGCCTGTGAGTTACCAGCTGTTATAACAGCCTCTTTATTTTAAGAACACATCAGGGCAAGGTAAAAGCTTTTTTTTTACCTTCTCTGCACATTGAAATCTGGTCCATAGGTGCCTTAAAACACAGCAAGGAGGATCACTTGAACAGAAAGAAGGTTCATTTCTTTGAAGGTTGGCATCTACCACTGAAGAATGGGGAAATATGACTTATCATTGGGATGACCAGGAAACTCTGGAGAAGGGCGGAAAGAGGATATTGCTGAAAAAATAAAATCAAGTCTGGTTAATCACCATTGTTTCTGGTTACTTCATCTTTACCGGATATTGAAATTTAGCTGACGGGTAACTGTTCCTAAGAATTACTTAAGCTTGATTTAACCTAATCTGTGAACTGTGAACTGCGAACGCTTTCACTGTGAACAGTGAGAACGTTTTTGTCATGGTCATGTTAAGAAACATGTGCAAGTCAGTGCGCCTCTTAAAAGATGAACTGCTTTCCTCGGGACTTGCAGAAGAAAAAACCTAACGTGTACAGATTGAAGCAGTTGTTTGTAGTCAGAGAAACTGCAGATATCCAGACCTGCATTCTGAACAATCCCTTGCCAATTGGACAGTTAGCAGAAACTTAACAGCTTGTTATTCCTTGGAGTGAGCAGAGGCAGCATGTAGCTAGTGTAACACAGGCTACTCAGCAGCTTTATTTTCACTCTACTTTCCCATTTTCTATCTCCCTGGACTTTTTGCCGTTTGTCTACACTGATCTCCTACTTCTGGAACAAATTTCTTTTCTTAGGGGTTTTAAGCATGTCTGGAAAGAAGTACGGCCCCTCAGAATGTAGCACGTATTGCTGTGTTTTGCATGTCTTTCCATACAGACTGTATGTGCTTTTCAGCACAAATAGCGTGGACCCTCTTCAAAATAAGCCACTGACTCACTATAGACAAAACTAATTTTGTCCGATGTCCAGCTTGCCCACAGGAAAGTAGGAAACATCTCAGCTGAAAGGTGATACGCTGAGAAATCTCCTTTCTTTGGACATTATCCTTGTGGTCAATCACTGAGTTCATGCCTTCCCTTTCATTAAAAATCTCAAATGTATAATTTATAGTCAAGTCTAAGACTCAGCAACTTACCTGCAAAAATTCAAGAACAGGTCATAACTAATAAAACAAAATCAGAAGAATTTGGTCATTAGGGCTTTTCAGATTTTATTTCAAAACTGTGCGCTGTAAATTAATTACCAAACTATTTACACGGTAGTACTGTAGTTTTCTGGTCCTTCACACCGGAACAAAATGAGCCAGTACACGGCTGAGGATTCTTACTGGAGCAATTACTTGTATCTGCAGTAATGGTGACAGTGAGAGTCCTTGACAGAGGTGGCACTACTGGTGATTCTCTTCGCATAAGAAGTTGCTGACCTCACTGAATACAAATACATGTAGCTGGGATGCAGGAGGCCTCACACATTAACAGGATAAGCAGTGCCAAACCATGGACTTCATAAAACTACTCTTATCCCAGAATAAGAGTTCTATTAAGTGCTTTCAGCTTCATTTTCTCCACATGTTTTTGAACCTTCTCTCTGAGCTCGTTGGTTCGGGGTTGAAAATGTCCATCTGGACGGTTGTGCAGGTCTCTGCAAGAAGTTTAAAAAGTCATTCGCATTTATCATAGCCAGGGGAGCTACCTAGGAATGCTGATAAAAACAAAAGAATAGACAAACATATTTCTCTCTTTTGTATAATGTACAGAGAGGGTACTCCATTACTTATGCAGAACTGGAAAAGGAGTGAAACTGTGAAAAGAACATTCACTCTTGGCTTGGCCAGCTAGGAAAGCTAACCACCTGACAGATAAACACATACTAGAGTGAGTTTTACACTTTATCTATGAAGCGCCATATGCCGTAACGGCCAGAACAAGAGAATCCACATGAAAAACTAATTTGCCTTAAGGATAAAATGCTGAAACTGCCGTAAAGGAGTAACGTGTTCTCTGTCATCTAGTGAAACACCACCCCACTGATAATCGTGAACACCCTTCAAGGCACAAAAGAAAGGACTGGGACTTCATTTCTTTCTAATGAATTTTTATTACCCTCTTTACAAAGCCAAACAAATAGGGAAATTTTCAACAAGGAAATATCAATAGCCAGAGGCATTTAATAAAAATGTATTTTCATTTTTGAAGAAAATGTCTAAAACTTCTAAAAGAAAGAACCTTATGGTCATAAAACTACTTACCCAGGAAAAGCACCATCCAACACTGTATCACTGTGGAGAAAAAGGTCACTCTTTAGTGAAGCAAGCTACCCCAAATCCCCATGTTCTGACAAGCCGAATGTCATAAAAAGCAGAAGGCAACACTGAGTCAGAGACACCTGTGTTTTCATAGCAAATTATCTTCAATCAATGCTGTAGCAATCACAATACAGCAATAAGTGTTTTGTCAGAAAGCTCCTAACATGCAGCACTCTTTAAGTTTAATGGCTGACAGTGGCACGGGATTTGAATGTCAATTAAATAATTTCCCTCTAAAATTAAAGAAAATGAGACATTGAAATCTCTTGATGGCTCTGAAAGTTTCAGGCTATTACACACATTCTGACAGCTAAGGCACATCATGACCACTTTAGAGAGGGGGCAACTGCTGGACAGAAAGATTAACTCACTTAATCCACGTCACACAAAGTATTTGTGGAACACAGGTCTAGAATTCCGCACTTTCTCCGGTGCTGCTCTGCAATCACTCATCCTACCCATAGTGGCCGCAGTGCCCCACTTTGCAGCTCATACACCAATTAGCACCCTGCCTGCAGGATCACATTCCGGCAAGTTACACACAGAGCATCCACTTCTGCTTCCAGCAAGTGCTGCTCTGAAACCACGGTGGCAATCATCATCCCCATCAAAGGCCCATTTGTCCCTCCTTGTCTCAATCTTCTCCTTCAAGGTTTCTCTGCTGAGCTGCAAACTCAGGCTTGACAACACTGAAGGCAAAAGGCAGAATTTGGCCCTTAGAGTGGCCAGTTTAGAACATTTTAGGGAGCAGGTAGTTCTGTGTTTATGGATGGAAGTTATTTTCCATGCTGTGCTGTATGCCTAAAACACAACGTGTGCTGGTGAAGTGCAAAGCAGGGGCAGCAGAGCAAATGTGACCCACTCCTAGGAAGAGCCTGAGGAAAAGGCACCATGCTGGGGGAAATTCTAGGGGCTCATTTCTCTGTGAGCATTAACAAATAGCTAACCAAAAGGGTCACTGAAAAGCAAACGCCACTGGTCCAGGAACATCGAGTATCTCTGTGATGGCAAGAAAACTGCCTCAAGTGCTCGACCATATTGTTAAAACTGAAATCAAAGACACCCAGGCCAGTGTGTCACATTCACAGCTACTTTCCAAGTCCAATTCGGAGATTGCACTTGCAGTGTAGATACGTTTTAACGTACCAGATCTGCATCACACTTGTGATGGAGACCCTAGAGCACCTCAGTATAATTTTCTACATAGTTCTGAACCAGATGTTTGTCTTCAGATTCCTTCCCATTCCCCTTCCCTAATTTCAAATTATACCCACCTTTCTTCTTTTGCTGATTTCTCTTTGCCTTCTTCTGAAAGTGCCTGCTCAATTTGTGGAAATTCAGCTCTCACCATCTCTGGAGTAAGAATCATTTTGAACTCCGTTTCATCTGTCTCACTAAACATTAGCAAGATGAAGAACAATTGGGCTTTATCCTTTTAGCCAACAACAACAAAGTATGTTTTATGTAAGAGGAACTTTGTGCTTTTGCCTTTGAGGATCTCTTAGGACAGGTTTAGACACACCCATACAAGTGTTCAAGACATAATCACAGTGAATATAAAACAGGAGAAACTTACTGGTCAATTATGTTTTCCCTGTCTCTCTCAGGTAAGTCACGCAGCAGTGGTGGTACATCTCTTGGAAGCATATCTAAACTGTAAGGATCCCTGTGACAGAAATGGCATTAGTTTAAGATGCCCAGAGAGTAACTGCACTCAATGCTTCTATTTTGAAGCTTCACAGTAGTTGTAGTTATAATGAAGATGATGTACTTTCAAATATTCCTGGAACATCTGAGCACATCAGAAAATGCTGTGATATGAGGGAATACGAATCTGAGAGACATTGGCTACCACTGGGTGCAGGTGCCCCTATGTTAAAGGTTTCACCACTCACACTTCTGCAGGACAGACAGTTTGTACCTCCCAGGGTCTTCTGGCATTGAGTCAAAAAGCATTCAGGAGAGATGTTAATGACAGTCCAGACTGGAACGGTCCATCCATGGCTCAGTATTTCCTCTAGTGATATGGTTCTCAGCCCACCCTTCAAAGAGGTCAGGAGGGGTTTTCCCTGTTGGTTTTGGATTTCTGAGGAGCAATTAATTCTACCCTTAGGCCTACTTTATCTATGGGACTAGTCATTCGTCAATGTAGCTCCAGAGAGCAGAAACTGATGCAGGGCAAAGGCACTGCCTATTCAAACCCTTTCTTACCTAGGTGCTGTACTTGTCAATGTGGGAGTGTTAGAAAGAGTGGAATATATCACTGGCAAGAATCTTCTCCATTCCATTACTCCACAAATCACTTCCTGAAATGACAAGTGCTACAGCGATCAAACCTCTAACACATAACACAGTGGGGAGAGTGGCTTGTAGGACAGAACATTTAACTTCTTGGCTAAAAATTTAATCTGGGGAGCTGCAAGTATCCACATTTAAAGGATTCTTCCTCCACTGCAAGGCCATGTAAATATGACAGATAGTGAAAAGAAGGAAAGAGCAGAAATATTCAGGGATAAATGACACAGACCAAGCCTAACAAGAACAAGTTATTCTGACCCATGTACTGACTATTTAGATGCATGCATAATTTGTATTTGAAAGTAACTTCTATCTAGGATGACTCTTCATCTTCCTTTTTGATTCCTTGGAGCAAATTTACAGTAAGAACATACTCAAGCCAGGTACTCATACAACAAAACCAAAAGGCCATACCTCATGATGCAGAAATTTCTTCTGTGTGACTGGAATACTGGATCCTTTGGGGCATTCCTTGGTAAAGGTATATTTTGGATGAGGACAAAGATGATATTCAATATTTGTTTCAGAATAGGCCAGAGGAGGTAAAACTGGAACTAATCCTGGAGTGGGGTTCTAAAAATAAAGAAGGGATCATTCTGAGTACCATAAAGAACTAAACTGATGAAAATTCAGTTCATACGGTTAATGTAGTCTTCCCAGATTCACACCTTTGTCTCATTGTAACTGTTCTGTTCAGTGTGATCCTTCATTTCCTGCCTCTTCCCCTCATCACAGACCCATAATCTGCCTGCCTTATCCATGCTCTCTGCTGTCTAGAATACAGCAACTTCAGTGTTGTTTCCAAGTTTGGAAGGAAGAAACTATTGCCTGATTACTCCAAAAATCTATTGTTGATTCTCCAAACAGTTCAGAATCTGAGAATGGCAACTGGCCTCACTGTGGTGGAAGCCAGTGAGCATTTTGCCATCTATTTCACTGCACCAGCACCTGTTTCTGAATCAAGTCTAATGTTGTGTAGCATGGGATCAGGCTGTGCCCGGGTCTTACACTGACATGACAGAGGGATGAAAGAGATGCACAGGGGATCTCATCAGTAAGTCCGCCGGACTCCCAGCCATATGCAGTGAGGACAAGTCTATACCATATACGTTATGTCAAGATGACCAGACAAGCATACTGGGCTCTGGGCCACTGTAGCCAAGTAATGCTGGAAGATAGAGCCACCCAAGCGAGGTACAGTGCCGTGCTGGCTTGGAGATGCTGCCCGTACCAATGCTCAGCACTTCACTGAGCTACACAGCTGCCTCTGCCTGCTCAGAGACACCCTGGGGACCTCCAGGCTGTGGTGCACCCTGTGGGAAATATCTTCCACAGCTGGTGCCAAGCAGCACAATCCACATGACAATTAATTAACAGAAAATCCTCCCGTTCATGTGGCTGCGATTTTGTTAATCTCTCTGCCTAATAATTTGGAAATGTGTTTTTGGAATGCTGTGACAACTATTGGAAACTCTAAGGTAGCAGGGTGCAATGTGAGCAAAACGTTTGACTTCCCTTTCCTCAGTTTACCTAAGGATCAGGCAGAATCACATCCCCTTAGCTGAGTTAGAAGGAAATATTGTGCCTGTCCCAGCTACCTGGGCAAGAGCATGAGGTTATAGAGGGACTGAGACACCAAAATCATGCCTTTCCTTTTAACATCCAAACAGGGAATCAAATTGACAAGAAAGAATGGACCCCACGACATTCCAGGGAATCCTGGGATTGGTGACCTTCGGTGGAGTGTGACACTGGAAGTGTCTCTGGTTCTCTGCTCACTGGCAACTTTGCCTTATCATCCCGTCCCTAAACTGATCAAATTGCACCTTAAAGTGAAACGGTGCCTGTCTCAGCAGGATGAACTCTGTCACCCCTACCTACCAGGGCTTGCACCTTTAAGGATTACTCTAACTCTTGATAGTTTTATATACCAATCTGAATAGGAGAATTATTCACCAATTCTACATCAGGCTTCTGAGGAAACAAATATGTTTTTCCTCCTATCTTAGGTCCTTTGTGGAAGTCAACTTCTACTTACAAAAATGCGAAGTGGGTTGCTCTCTGTAGGGTAGACTAAGGCTTGGGGAGGAACCAGGTTTAAGAGGCTGATATCCCTTTCTGCTGCTTCTTCCGGGGATGGTTTGTGAAAATCCATCCTCTGGGAGACCAGGTTAAGCTGCCCCTCAGGAGAAGCAACTACTTGAATCAACTCATCCTTGAAAAACAGAGACACCAAAGATTTTCAGAGAGTAGTACGCCTTTGGATATCGAATGTTGAGACAAAATCAAGCAAATAATTGCAGAAATGTTGGGTTAGGAGCGACTTCAGCACAATTTGCATTTAAGATGACTGTTACCTGGGCTCCCTGCCTCAGTGGTCGGGAAAGTTTTCGAGGTTTGTAACTTGTGGCTGCATAGTGTGTGCAAAACGGCTGGTACTTCATAACGCTGAAATGCTGAGGAATCTAAGTGCAAAGAAAAAAGGCGTGCTGCAGGAGATTACAATTATCCCTACTGATTAACTCACAGATGGACTGGGACATGCCAGCTTTATCATGGACATAGCACATCTCTGTGGTAAAAGATACTTGGATCACTATTCTGGAACATGGTATGTGAGCAAAACTTTGAGAAGCCATGCTTCGCCAGGACAAGCTGAATCAGTGCATAAAGGAATATTTCCATTCTTCCTTTTCCATGATAGATCATGGACTTAGCAGTTTCTTGATCAAATATATTAAACTTAGTGGTGTGAAGAAAAGCTGTGTTAAGTCATGTCCGTAACACTGACAGATGAACCAATGTGTAATAAGGGGAAAAGATGCTACAAGAAAGCTTCTAGATTTGTTGCACCACCTGATCCACCACATTGATCCAAAATCTGCACTGATTTAAACCAGAGGAAATATTTTTACTTCGATAGGGTGCAGAAATAATAGATCTTTTGCTATGCAAAAATTTGAGAGAAAAGGGTTTAGGATTCAAGAGAAAAAGAATGTTTCTGTGCTCACAAAGTTGGGAAAATGTTGTATGTTTCAAGAAGATGTTTGCATTTCCTGTGCAGGAATGAAGGAACTAATCATGCAGAACTGCATGCCAAATAAACAGACAACTTCTACTACTTTCTAGAAGGAATGGCACTTACATAATGTCACTTTTACAAAACTCTAAAATCAAAGGAAAAACTACGCGGCCCACTGCACTTGCAGCATCTTCCTTTGTAAAAGTACTCTGTTGTTTGAGACACAGTAATTTCAGAGGAGGTAATTAATCTCCCTGTCTGGAGAGAGGGGACTACTCCCGACTATAAGCTTGTTACTCTAGGAAAGAGGTGAAATTTGTTTTCAATAGAAGCATGCCAATCATACAATCATATTAAAGCAAAACTTCTACTGGGCTGCACACTGGGATCACTGAACCAGGCAGAAACAATGTCTAACTGGACTGGTGAAAGAAGGAAACATGATACCGCTGAGGGAGCTGTACTGACTCACCTTCAAGTCGTAAAAAGGAAGAACGTGCCTGACTTTCACATCTACAGATCCAACAGGAACTGTGCCAAGAGCATCAGGTGCCTGAAAGAATACAGTGTTTAAAACCCAGTGATATGGCAGGCATCTTGGTTTGCATGGCAGTAATCCATCAGCCCAGCTACTTGAAAACATACGGAAATAATTATGGAAGCATCTTGTTTGATATTTCTCCTGTCCTTTCTTGGACTTCGGCATTTCAGTTATTTATTTCTTTGCTTCTGTAAAATTGTGGGTGTTAACTAACTCTGAACATTAATGTGTAAATCACAGTTTTAGAATGCAATTAAGAGAATGCAAAGATTTTTTTACTCTTTTCACCAGCACCCTTAGTAAGTCTGAGGTCAAATGATTTGTTGGAACCTCAGAAATTTTGATAAAGGAAGTACTGGGCCTGTGGCCAATGTCTTCAACACAATTCTGTCTTGAGTTTTGGCCACCATTTTAGTTACTACACCTACCAAATCATGGTGCAATTCATCAGAACTCTGAAATGGGAATTCAAAAGGCAATATACGATCTTCAGATATGCTGGAAGAATAGCCTTTGCATTCTTCACTCTTCTCTGGTTTGCTGAAACTCTCGCTTTCTGTCATGAATGGAAAGTAAGTATTATTACTTTATGATATATCTTAATACACTGTTTCAAAAATAGAATTAAACCACAAAATACATTTAACATCTTCCTAAGATAGGATGTATCTAGTAATTTTAATATAAAAATGTAATATTTTCTAAAAGCTTTAAATGCCACATCTACGAGATAGCAGGCACAATACTAAGACTAAAAGACAGGTCTAATTTTCCCTTTTCTAAAAGGACATTGCAGCCTACTAACGCCAGCATGGTCCTCTATCTCACTCTGCTCAGCAGCACAGAGACAAGTTGGAAGGTCTCTGTTACACTGCCATTACACCATCTACTTGAGGCACCCCTACAACTCTTGCATACTGGGAATTAAAAGTGCTTGCTTGCACAAGCAGGAAAAGGCCTGATATGAAAAGGTATTTCAGCAGTTGTCAAATTGTGTGTGTACGAGGGAGTAGGAAATAAGAGACACAAATTCTCTTCTGTCCCCAGTTACCCAACCATGACTCCGATCCAAGGCCAGTTTTCTTCTATGACTGTTAAAGAACAAGTGCCTTTTCTAAGCTAGCACTTTCATTTTGTTGTAAAGAAAAGTGACTGCCTGAAAGCAATGGGAAAAGAGTAAGGAGGAACACTCAACCCAGTACTGGCCACCTAGCCATATACGTTCTTGGTCCTACCGTACCACTTCACCGAGTTCAGATATCTTGCCTCCAGGTGCCTTCCCTCTTCCAGACCCCACGCGATAGGCTCCTCTTATCCCACATCTCTAACCTCTCTGTTTCACATATTGTCACATCTACCCTTTCATTGTTCCTCAGGCCTATGAGTAGAATCAGAGAATGGTTTGGGTTGGAAGGGACCTTTAAAGGTCAGCTACTTTCAATCCTCCTGCCAGAGGAGGAGACATCTATCAGTAGACTAGGTTGCTCAAAGACCCATCCAACCCAAACTTGAACACTCCTAATGATGGAGCATCTATAACTTCTGAACTATTATTAAGTAGATAAGCTGCAAGGCTCCAAAAAAGAGTTAATCCCATTTTTAAAAATCTCGTAAATTTTAAAATTTCCTAAATAATAGACATATTTTGACCACAGCCATTTCTATCTTTTAGTAGGGCTTGTTCCAATAGGACAAGGGGTAATGGTTTTAAACTAAAAGAGGGTATATTCAGACTAGATATAAGGAAGAATTTTTTACAATGAGAGTGGTGAAACACTGGAACAGGTTGCCCAGAGATGCCTCATCCCTGGAAACATTCAAGGCTAGGCTGGATGGAGCTCTGACCAACCTGATCTAGTTAAAGATGTCCCTGCTCAATGCAGGGGGGTTGGGTGAGATGACCTTTAAAGGTGCTTCCAACCTAAACTCTTCTATGATTCTACCTTGTCACACTTTCTTTGCTGGAAGACTCCTTTGCAAGGACTCTATTTCTACATTTACATGTAAAGCACTTGACTCAATGCAGTACAACTTGAATTATCATAAATCACAGCCAAAATATCAGCTTGTTCTTCAACTCCTTACCAGACACAGGGCCTTCCTCCAAACCTCTGGCTTCTCTGGTTAGCCCACGGAACAGACACAGTAAACGATTTAGCCGAATCTGAATCACAATCTGAGAGAATGATTCTGAAGTTTATTATTAAGCTGAACACTCTGAGATTTACGATAGAGAAATATATATACCTTACAACTGTATTTGACAGAGCTCACTCAGACATCTCTATTTCAGAATTTTTACTATAGTTTTCAGTTCAGGAGGCAGAAAATGTGGAAAGAGAGATGGAGAATGGATCTCAACTCTACAGTAACACGACACAAAACCAGTTCAAAACTTCATTTAGTCTTACACATTAATCAGACCTTTTTTGCATAGGTCCTAATCTTTCAGCTGTATCTATTGGCATATATAGATTTAACAACGGATAAGCAGCCAGTTGAGTTGGTCAGGGCCATATGAACACTTGTGGCTCCGTAAGTACCAACCTGCACCATGCCATTTGCCTAGTGCCAGGTACCACAGGGTAACAACAGAGTCCTGGATCTTAATACCAGAGGGGGCCCTTTAGCCACCTCCTTATTAAGAGTATTTCATTTCAGCACCTCTGTATTGACCCTAATACTGTGAATGACTGGAGAAAAATATGCAAACTGGATACTAAGAGAGCAGGACATTTCCACATTGCTTGCTGCATTCAGATTTACTTGGAAAAGAGTAGTGGAGATACAAGATTATATTTAAAACCAATGAGGTAAATCATTTTACTGATTAGTCTTAGTTTCCAGGTTGGAAACTAAGTCTTAGTTTCCAGGTTGGATCTTTGAAGATCCAGGCTCCTGCTCCAAGCAAAGTCAGTGATAAGATCAGACCAGGTTGATCAGAGCATTTTCCGGCCTGGTCTTGAAAACATCCAAGGATGCAGACTGTACAACCTCTCTGGGCAACCTGCTCCAATGACTGACTGTCCTCATGGAGAAAAAGGCTTTCCTTATACACGATCTATCTCTCTCTTATTTGAACTTACGCCCATTGTTTCCCATGTTCCCAACACGCACCATCGCAAAATTCTGGAGACATCATCAGTAACCTCCTCGGAGGTGTTGGAAGGTGCTGGTTTCTCGCTCCACTTTCCCTCCCCAGGCTGAGAAAGCGTCTCCTCAGAGAGTCAGTGCTCCAGATCTTGACGATCTTGAGGGCTCTATATTAAACTTGCTCCAGCTTATTGATGTCTGTCTCGTACTAGAGGCCCAAAATTGGGCACAGTACTCTAGATACATTTTGGAACCTTCTCTTTTTTGTGCAAAATTATTTTTTTACTTTTAAAAAAATATAAATTAATCTGCATTTGTTTAGTATTGATTGTAATACTAAGCACCAGGTGAAGCAACTGCTGAGTACAAAACTTGCTCCAGATCTTTATTTCCTGGTGAAGAAGGGAGATATTTACCAAACTATCAAAAACTTAGCTAGCTGTGAAGACTGCTTACGTACTAGTTTGCACGTTCTTTTTTGCTATTTCCAAGGCATCATGCCATCACATTGCATTCTGTTTGTTCGCGTTACCTTGTATGCCACTTGCTGGAATTTCCTCAACATCCTGTTTCTGCTGTCCCAAGGGTCATTACGGAGCAAGTCGAATGTGGGATGGACACTTGGATGCTGCATGGTATTTTTTAAAAAAGGGACAGAAGACAAAAGAGACACCTCTTTTACAACTAGGCAAGGGAGAAATTTCCTCCAGCTCAAGCCATTCCTTGGCCTGAAACCCTATGTTATTTATAAACACTCAAATTAATTCAAGTGAAAATGTTTGCAGGATTGGCGTTCAACCAGAAGCCTTCACTGCAGGGCTTAATGGGAGGTAATCACCAAATATTTGCAGATGCAATATGGAGAATACAGAGATAATGTGCAGGGTTGGCATCCACGCAAATGACAACCACATATTATGACGTAAATGCGATACAAGGGCAGCCAGACAGTGGAGAGAAGGGACTAGGTCTCTACCGAATACACATTTCATCTTGCACAGATGTGAAGCTGGAATAGCTGCAAGGGGTCAAACCAGGAACCCAGCGAAACCAGTGTCCTGTCTCCAATAATGGCCGACAGAACACACCTACAGAAGGGCAAAAGACTAGGGTAAGCTTAGCGTGATAATTCCCCAGAATAACCTCCCCACATCTAGTGATCTTAATACAGAGATGATGTCTCTATATCTAATGCCTTCAAATGTTAGAATGCTCTCCGAACGCAAGCAAATCTCTTTCTTGATGCATTCTCTTCTCCAGCTTTAAAGCGACGTGGCAGAAGAATGTGGCACTAGAAGAGACTCTAGTAGCCCCATGGAGTACAGCACCACCCAACAGGAGGGCAGCTGCTCCATGCAGCCCCATGCTAGGTGTCATCAAACAATTTTCAGCACTTTGTATCAGGTGTAATAGTATAGTAACAGAGCAACTCCCACAGCTGTTACGCTCCTTAAGGAGGAGGTAGCAAGGATCCTTTGTGTTGCCAGTATTCAAAGTTTCTTCAGTAGCAGGGTATCAGTTGAACAAAGCTCCCAATAATCCTAGGAGATGGATCGTAAGAAGTACATTGCACTGTAGAGAAGGACTAAAAAATCGAAGTACCAGAAGGGTTCCTGTCAATCTGACTTGCAGGTAAAAGTTGCTAATTCTTGTGATATGCTTAACCCTATGTTTAGGCATAAGAAAGCTACTCCTCAGAGAACTTTCAGAAACAAGCAATGTGAATCTCAGGTTAGGCCAGCAGATTTCCACTTGTCTCTCATATTGGATCAGCAGAAGATGAGTCGTGCATGTAGCACAGTGTTTGCCCTACTGTAGTAAAAGCAAAATGGGAAATAAGATGCTAACAGAGAAATGGGAATATTAGAAAGAAAATATTTAGTGCCAAATATCTATGTCTATTTTTTTAGCTTAGGAGGTGGTAATAATATATTGCAGGCGAAAATAACATATAAACAAACCTGGTCAACAGGCCGGATAACGCGTCTGAAAGAAACTTCTACTTGGTTCCTTTGAAACTCCTGTTCTACGATAGGATCTCCTCTTTGGATCTGATTTGTCACCAGGAAGAATGATCATGTTAGTACAAAGCACCCACTGAATCTTCTCCCTTACAATTAGTGGAACTCCCTTACAATGTAACATTCTGGAAGTGCTCAACAAAACACAGACTTCTTTCCCTTCTAGGGAGTGACTATTGCAACCCTTGAGCAAGTAAGCCAAAGTAAAAGTCGGTCTTTTGAGGCCTGAGCTTCAGTCAGATCCCTGCCCTAATGAAACACAATTTGCTTTGCACAGTCAGAATCAGCCAGAGAGGGGCTACAGAACCAACACCACACATTAGCATCCCAACAGAGCTTCCCAGACGACAACAACACTGCAGCTTTCTTATGTTCTGTGAGCATCTCTGTCATGGTTTCCAGTGGTGCCAGCTCTTGAGTCTGTTCACACATGAAACAATTTACTACTAACACCATTTCACCTCTTTGAGACCCTCTCAAAGTGTTCAGGCACGCTGGATGAATACCAGGGCTTCTTTTCACTGTGCCTCTTCCATACCAGTCCCACTTCCCTATTGTTTCATTTCCGGGATACTATTATGTTTGAAACAAAGACCTTGGGGTTACTTTGCAGAGCAAAATACCCATGATTTTCATGGACTGGACTTTTAGTTAATACAATGGAAGGCAGACCAGTTAACAGTCTCCAGGACAGCCATTCCCAGGTTGTATAACCTAGTGGCCATTCAAACCAATGATGGAGGGATAACAAATACTCTGCGAGGCCTAGTGACACTCAAGGTGAAGTAACTGACAGCATGAGCAACAAAAATGCCTCTGCCAGAAAGTCACAGGGGCAACTGTGAAAACAGTCAGAGATCTCCACAGCCTCTCTGGCCAACAGGTAAGTAAATAAATGTTTCTAAATAAAGTTAACATACTTCTAATTCAGCAATACAACAATCTTACAATTTAGATCCTATTTTCACTCACTTCCACCTTTGTCAGTACTAAATATGATGTCCGAACTAATTCACAGTGCCTAATTCAGTGTATAAATTAAGCCTCTACCCTATCTATAAATAATTTCACTCCCATAACCAGCTCCTTGGAAGTCAGTGGTTTGTCAGAAGCTACTACAGGTTTGCATTGATGTATGAAGACAAATTGAAGATGTAGAGAACTTGATACAATTCACCAGCACATTGAATAATCTGGAAAGTATAAATTTGATTTTAAATTTATAGAAAAAACAGTGAAGACTTACCTTGTATTGCTCTTCTTCCCTCTGTCGGTTTTCAATAATGTCTTTTCTAAATTCCATAGAGACTGGATCTTTGCCTTTATGAACCTGCCTGTATTTACAGTGGAAGCAAGAAAAACGCTTTACTTAATGCACAGTTTGCTTTATTTGAAGGCTAAAGGACTTATTCTCCTCTTTCCTAAGGTGTCTAGGGTTGCATAACATTCAGCATAAGAGCAGATCTGTGGATCGCAAATGAAACCATGGTGTGCTTACACGCACAGCTGTGTGTTTTACTTTAGGCCATCTGATGTACATGCACAACTCTGTTCCCTCCATTATACATTTTAGTCAATCTAATGAAAACGTGACAAAAGGTTCCTTTGCTCCTGAAGGCACAAGATAGGATGTCTGATAGCAAGGTTTGCAGCAGTTTTCTTTCTGAATGCAACCATAACACAGTCACAGAATTCATTGGGTAATACTATGGATTACTACTAAGACTGGTCTTAGGCAGAAGAGAAAAAAATGAAAGTAAAACAACAGCAACTGGGCTGTAAAACAAAGAAATGGCAGCGTTACGCAGTAGTGGATATTGCATACCTCATTCATGGAGGCCTTAGTTAAGCAAGGGCCAGTGTTGTTAATGTGGTTAACTGACACTTACCACTTCAGATTATTTGCTTCCTCTTCCTGAACATTTTGTTTGACTTTTAGTTGAAATACGGCTTCCTTCATCTGCCTTGTTTTTAGCTCTTCATCGCCTTGGCAAAGGGCTGCAGGAATATCAGAAAGTCATATCATACCTCAAACTACATTGAATTTTTAATTGGGAAATTCACCCATTATTATAACTGAACTCATTAATACACAAAGCTAAGGTGAGATTTCTTACAGAAACTACAATCATATCACCTCAGCAATTCTGAAGCTGAGATCCTCATCAGAAACGTACAAATAATGCTAAGACCAAGTTTATGCTGCATAATTACATTACCTTCTTTCAAGTCCTTAATCTTCAATTTGCCTGGTTCCTGATTCAAAACAGTAGCTACAGCATGTGGATTTGACAAGTCTGTGGGGAATCTGAGGTTCTGGCATTCAATTTCCTACCAAGATATAAATGAATAGGAAGAAACAGAAACAAGAAAGATTTTCAGCCCAGGAAAGTACTTGTGATTATTATCTCTTCACACCTTTATTTTTTGAATAGGTCTCAATCTTGGTTGGCTGAATTGGTCCCTTTTCCACACCATGGATTTTCCTGCAGACATAGCTTTTTTCTCTGGACGACTTTGTTGTTTGTCAAAATGTTCTTTTCTAGGTGTCAGAAGAGCAGATATTACACTTACAAGTACTCTGTAAATGACATATAAGTCTAGTACGTCAGCTTATATCTTCTTTAGATATAGAAAGAGACTGGAAATTTTTCTCCCAAATTACTACTGGAACCAAACTTTCTCATCCTCAGAGTTCACAAAAAATTAAGTACAGCCCAAAAGACCTTATTGCTCAAAACCCACTGCATCTTGCAAGGCCTCAGCAATAAGAATAACATAGAGCAAGCATAACAGAAGCTGAAATTCCTCAACATTTATTTATAGATCTGTAACTTCTCATTTTTGTTTTGATATTGTTTCACTTCATAAAAGGCTATTCAGAGCAAATGATGCAAAAGAGCAGGTACATGTATTAACTGTCAAACTACATTGGTGCATTTGAAGTCCCCACAGAAACAAATCCTTAAAATGATTACAGCAAAAAGCATGAAATCCCATTATATAGGTATTTTTTAGAACTGGGCAAAAATACTCAAAGATCAGTCAGCCACACATACATTAGACCCAGATGTGGTGTTGATGTTCCTGTGAATACACATACATAGGGTTTTGAGTGAAACTGTGAAATCCATAACTGCATTGTCATTTGTGCTGTTCCATACTCAAGTGGGGAATATTTCACAGTTACTTCCACTTTCCCATTGCCTGGAATGATTCCTGTGATTAGAGAAGAAAAACAGTAAGAGTCCATCTAACATGAGCCCACTGATGTATGCTGAAATTTATTCTGGACTACATTTTTTTAAAACAGTATTAATGTTTGAATGGATAGCAGTAGGCCTGGAAAATATTTCAGGTCTCAAAGTGTCTTTCAAGAACCATACATTGCCAGGTAATGGGAGATATTCTGCAACAGCAGAGATTTGACAGCAAGACTGTAACAGTTTCTACTGTTGTGAAAATTATTGCCTGTTTATATGCAGAAATTCTTCAACTGCATCTGCCAGTCTCAAGTTTCTGGCATTTCCTGCTTTCATGAGCAAAGCATTATAAGCACATTCCTCTGTGTTTTTCCAAATTGGGGAAATCATCTGGATTTGATGTGTTACCTATCTTTACTTGGTCTTACTTCGTTATTACCTGTTCTATTATTTTCTCAACCATTTTAACCACTTCTCATATCCCTAAACATTCAGTCCAATCCCAGGATACAGGCCCTGACACTCCTCAGCATTTCTGCAAGAAGGAGTTTATTCAGCTCATGAGAGATATTAATTTCTCAATTCTGTAAAGTGGCTGTTGGCTATTTTTCTGGATCCTGTAGTTTTAAATACCAGTTAGTTTCATTGGGATTTCTTTTGGTGTGTGATCTCAGAGCACAATGACTTCAGTAGGAGCTGAAAATTCTTAGCGCTTTTCAGGACCTCAGAGTGGCCTTCGGCACCTCAGAGTTTCTAGCTACCAAAGTTCCTGACTGACTTAGCTTTTACTGGGTTAATGTTTTTTTTCTAGGATATTTTTGTTCCCCTTTCTCCCAGGAACTAAGCCAACTTCGGAAACATGAATTAGTTCCAGCCACTTTGTCTATGATTATGCAAAAACAAATCAAAAACTTTCTGATCAATTTTACTTTTCCCTAGTTTTACTCAATTGTAATATTATTTCTTTTGTTCCTTGATACATCAGAACTTCTTTAAGCACAAAGAAAGAATACTATCCTGAAAGAATGACCCAAAACAAGGCAGCAGCATAGTTCTTGTTTGTGAACCCCACATCTGATAGAATCCAACTACTATCTCTGAAGAAAGAAAATCCATCTGACAAGACAGGGAAAACTCGTATCATCGTACATACAGAACAACAGTAGCTTTTATTGAAGTGCCTAAATAATAAAAGTTTAAATTCCAGTGTCACAAATGGTACTAAGCACCAGATTTGCGACAGTTTTTATTATTTAGATCTTTATGTATTTTCATGGAATTGACCAGATTGCCTCAGGGAATTATGCAGCCAGGTCTCACGCACTTACAGATTTTTGTCAGAACACACAGACACTTACATGCTTCTGCCAGCACCTGGCAAATATAACAATGACAGCAACTGACCTGCAAACAGTTGTATCTGCCTCAAGACAGGGCTTTCTCCAGCATTACTCGTGAAAATAGCTGAGCACACCACAGACAAAAGTCTCTGCCTCCTGTAAAGCCTGTACCCAGAGGTCTAGACTAAATCTAACACCCACTGCCATCCCATGGAACACCTGCAGCGCTGTGTTTTGAGCCCAGCACTGTAACCACTCCCAAAGCAACAGACACAATTCCATCAAATTCTTCCAGAGCATTAGGGGGAAAAGGTACAGGGATATGTTTGACAGGGCAGAGGCCACCTTTTACTTCCAATCAAGTAACACAATGCATACCTCTTCCACAAAGACAGATTTTTGCTCCTTTACAGGGGCAGAAGCCAGACAGTCCTTGGGGGAAGGTGTGACAAAGAGTTGAATTCGGGCTTCCTGCCTCTCTCCTTTACAAGGGCCGCACAAAGAGGGAAGATAAAGGCCGGATGGACTGTTTGCGACTTCTCATATTTTGCCAGACGTCTGTAACTGGGCATTGGCAAAACAAATCCGCCAGCCACAGAGGACTATTTGCCATGAGGCTACATACAACTAGCATTTATCAGCCTGCATTTACCCGGAAATACTCTGAGGCAAAGGCTTTTTCTGTATAGCACCAAATACACTGTCACAAGTAACTACACTTAGTAAATATAGATTTAACATATACAATTTAAAATTAGTTCAATCTACCAGATGTTGGCTGGACAGTGAAGGCTCTGTGAGGCTGAATAAAATCAATGTGGAACTCAAAATCTATTGGACAGCTGCACTGCAACGGGATAACATACTCCTTACTGAAAAGAGAGAAAGGAAGAAAGAAGTTAATGAAACTCCAGTTGTTCATCAATTACAAGCTTGAAAATTGTATTAGACACAACATGCACTACGTTTATTTTTATTCAGATGGATGGGTTACTTATTAATGTGAAAATAACTATTCCTTCTCGTTCCAAAATAACAAAATATTTCAAATCTTTCACTCAGTGAGGAAATTAGAGTTAAATGTTGATTTTACATTTTTACTTACTTTCTCCTACCCATACAGAATCCAGTTAGAGAAAAATTTATAAAATTTACCTTTTACAAGTCATTTATGTGTATCCTCAAATTCTAACAAACTGCAGTATCTATCAAGCACAAACAATCCAGCGTGGACCAATAATAAGTACAGAACCAGAAACGTTCTTTCTCCCACGGTCCTTGTGGAAGACGATAAGAAAAGACTATGCAGTCTTCAAAAGTGAGGAGAACTCCAACATAACAGAATGACTGGACTTCAACTATAGAAATAATGATGCTGTGGTTGATTTTCATAAAGGCCCTCTATGTCTCACACGGGCTGTGTGAGGGGCATTAGCACACGTTTTCAAAGTGACTTACTTTTGTATGCATCTATTTTCATGCATCAAATCAAAACACAAAGGCATTGGTGTAATACCACACATCATGATACAAATCAAGACCAATTTGCCTGGTCTTATTTCTGCTTTTCGTAAACTGTCTGACTGAACTCCTATCCTGCTGATTAGCAAAGAATGCCTCTTATACACTGTGTTCCTTTGAAAGCACATTCTGAAATGCCTAAGCAAATAAACAGTAATAACGAAGTCCTTTTCGTTCTGCCTTAATGTGATCATGAAGAAGATTTAACAGCAGACTGGGAAGGCAATTTTTATTTTTTAAGGTATAGTGCAGCTTGCACAGCAACCAAAGTGCCTTAAAAACAATTATGCCTGTTGCCTGATGGACCTTCTGTACTGAAGGAGAAAGCTGGGTGGTAGAATGTCGGTCTTACCCTACACTTATGGAACTAAAAGGCAGTTTTTCCATTGAGCTCAGAGGATTATGGACTGAGCCCATAGTTCCTGAGGTTCTGTATAGTCCCAAGTATCCCAGAGAGCTTTCATGGACATGGACCTGTCGGAGTGAGTCCAGAGGAGGCCATGAAGATGATCAGGGGGCTGGAGACCTTGCCCTGTGAGGACAGGCTGACAGAGTTGGGGCAGTTCAGCCTGAAGGAGAGAAGGCTCCAGGAAGACCTTATAGCGGCCTTCCAGGACTTAAAAGTGGGCATACAGGAAAGCTGGGGAGAGACTCTTGATCAGAAGGTGTAGTGACAGGATGAGGGGAAATGGTTTCAAATGGAACGAGGGTGGATTGAGGTTAGATATTAAGAAGAAATTCTTTACTCTGAGGGCAGTGACACCCTGGAATGGGTTGCCCAGAGAAGTTGTGGATGTCCCTTCCCTGGAAGTGTTCAAGGCCAGGTTGGACGGGGCTTTGAGCAACCTGGTCAGGGAGGTGTCCTTGCCCATGGCACAGGGGGTTGGAACAAGATGTTCTTTAAGGTCTCTTCCAACCCCAGCCATTATATGATTCTGATTTTTAGGAAAGTTTTTAACAGACTAATGATGAAAAATACTTTTAAAAATTTAGGATTGAAACCATCAGGTTTTTTTTTCAGGAACTCTTCCAAATCCCTGTTGTATTGCAAAATTTCCCTGTTGCTTATCATTGTATTTTGTACTCTAATTTCTTCTTTGTATTCATAGAACACAAAAATCCTGGATATTTCAGCTCATGCCTTCATTTCCAGAAGGCTTCACCTTGAAAAGAAGATCCATTCGCTTAGGACTCATTAACACTAAACAGACATGGCACTCGGGAGTGCAGACTATGAACAGCAGCCATATAGCTTCACCATATGATGAATGAAGTGAATCAGCACTGATTTAGACTAACTGAAACCTCAGTTCCCTCTATGTGTATATTTAGTTTGTACGGCATTTACTCTCCTGTGAATGTGCACTTGAAACAGTTCATACATGGAATGACTTCGCAGTTCAGATCGTAGCTAACTTTCTTAAAGCTTCCAAGACCTTAAGTTGTACAAATAGAGGAAAATGAGATTTTTCAGATTTTGTGCATCTCACAAAATGTGGACAAATGTCTGTCTTTAACTCACCTTTTACCAACTGACACATCAGACAGATTTATAAATGATGGAAATTCTACAACATTCGCAACAGGATAAGCATGCACAGGAATGAGTAATGTGTCTTCTCCCTAAAAAACAAAAGGGGGGGGATATTTATTTCTTGCTGCGAATAGAAGTTATGGGAAGAAAAGGTTTCTGTAGTAGTTGGCCAGTAAGTGGGCATAAAACATCTTCAAGATCACCATTGTGTTGCACCTCAGGATACTGATACTCTACCTGTCTAACCTTCCAGACTTTCTGCAACTACCTAGTGCTCCTCCGAGCCTGTTCAGCCATGACAATACATCAGCGCAGCACCAAGACTTATCTACTGGCAATGAATAAGGAAGATACTCTATCCACAGCTCTGTGAAGTTTACAGAGAGAAAAAATTTAAATGCTTAAAATAAAATACTCCAGTCAAGATCTACTGGGAATAAATCCATGTGGCTCTAGAAAATTAACTGTACCTCTACTTTATCATTATCATCACATCTTGTACTAACAGTTGTTTCATTTCATTACAACTGTAAATATATTTTGTAATAAATCCTCACCTGACAGTGAATTCGGACACAATCATAGTAATACCGCCACTCATCAGGACAAAAATCAACAGTTACCACATATGACAAGCCAGGGACAAGCCGGTGCTGGAAAATGACACAAAATAAGGTAGAATGCATGTAAAAGCCACTTATATGACACAAAACCAGCGCTTCATGCAAAAAGCAGTGTGAAGGCTTCCTGATACTTACTGGTTTTTTGTACTTGATCTGAAAATACTTTGTCTGGGGTGGCATTATGTGAAGGTTTATTACATCACCAGAAATATTTATCAGCTTCTGTAGAACAAAAGAAAATCAAAATCACAAAACACTTTACCATATAAGAGGTCAAATGAGAATGTCAACTGAGACTATTCATAGCAAAGAAGCTGTATTAAACAAGAAAGCGATAATATTTACTTTAGCAGAAATAATTCTGAATACGCTCTGAATTTAAAAGCAAATTGCATCCTGCATTTTTATTCTTTGGAACCAAGTCACGACTCCTTGCCTAGGAATCACGGTCTCACTAAAGACCATGCTACTGTTGAATCAAATTCTGGTCCTGTTTTGCTCATGCGCAGAGGGAACAAAAAAAGAAACAACTTACTGATGTCACTTTTATAGAGGTCTGAGACAACAGAAATTATGTAATATTCCATGGCTTTGTTTTGGATCACAAAGCAACAAACCTTTGTATGGTTACAGCACAGCCCATAAAGCCTCTTGCACCTTGCTTACTTTCATTACACCTGGAGAACCTAGTCCACCATAATCACCCAATGTCTACCCCAAAACATTTCGCACATAAATAAAGAAGGCAGACAAAGGGCAAACAAAGAGAAGAAAAGGAAACACCCAGACTGTTCACAAGGAAAGGTAATGAAACTCATGTATTGAGTTTCTTTCTTCAGCTTAAACTGCTCGTGGCAGAAGCCCAGAGGTGCTTTCAAGAATTTCCCATCAGTGAACGTGCTCACAGACACACAGTGACATCCAAGTACACTTTGAAAACTGTCTCTTATGGAGTTGAAGCGTGAATCCTTCATTCATGACACGCAAGTCACAGATCACCAACACTGCTCACAGACACAGAAAACAGAAAGGTAAAAGAGAGACTGTAAAGGACAGTGATGTACACAGCATGGTACTCGTCTGTCTTGTCACCACAGGACCACTGATTTTAACTGCTGCTTCTTAGAGCACTCCATAAAGCAAAAGTCCTCATGACTACAGGCAGTCCATTCAGCTTCTGTTGTCTTTTTAAGAGCCCCAAAAGGACTCCTGCTTTGACACTTACCAGTATTTGTTGGTGATGTTTTCCAAGTTCGTACCCTCCATAGTGTAACATAGCAGGCTCGGCCTGTATAACCTTGCTCCTCTGAAATTCTGAATAAATCTCTACAGCAATATATAATAAAATAGGCAGAAAAGGAGACCAGGTGAAACACACATGATGATTGTTACTTATCGTGATCAAGTACATTTATGTTGCACCTGATATTTCATAGAAAAAATGAATGAGAAAGGGATTATTTCTCCTGTTAAGCAGGCATGACCCTTTAAATGGAAAGTTCAGGCTGCATTTACTACCCGAGCTGAGCCATGATCCTGTTGCTAGGCTATTTCTTGGTGACATGGCTTCAACAAGCCACCCCAAAATTCTAGGGCCAACCAGGACCAGTACAGCCACTGTTTCTTTCCTGACTACCTTTCCTGTGATCTGGGCTCACAGAAATACACAATTTAAGCAACAGGATGGGAATTTTACCTGAGCTGCAAAAAAAATAAAAGCCAAGTGCCTCCTAGGATTGCTCCAACGTTGAGGAACAGTCAGAGAGCAGAAACTTACTTGATTCCACCAGGTGATTGGGGACAGCATGTCTTTTTTTAGGTTCTTCCACTAGGCTGCCCAGAAGGACGCTGGGTATTTTCTTGAAGGATTTCTTAGCAATCGTGATTTCTGTGGAGGCTGATTGAACCACATCCATGTTAGGACAGAAATGGAGTCCGAATGGTACTAAAATTCCTCAGCACCTGGGGGTGAATCAAAATAACATGATGAAAATATCTTCCCTTGCACTGGTAACATCTGTTGCCTAAAACTGCCAAAAAAAGTATTTAGGAGAGGATGTTACTTTTTTTTTCCTACTGAAGTAGATTACTGTGTGCTAAGCAGAAGGACAGAGGGATTCCAGGAAACCCTGCTCCCACTGCAAGCCCTCACACTTTGGGCATGTTCATCAATTCTAAGTCTAATTTAGGACATTTGGCTTTCAGGACTGTGTAAAACATCTCTCTCGTCTTGCACGTCCCCAGCACAGAGAAGGAGAGAAGGTTCTTCTGATAATTCCACTATCCAAATTGATTTCTGCAGAGATGTTCTTCCAATCTTTTCTGAGTGTTTGGGTTGTTAACTTGCAGATTCATTTTTAAATATTAATATGAGGGATAAGAAAATTGGCATTTGAATCTTTTGTTTGGATAGCATCATCTAGGTTATTTGTTTGGTGAAGATAACTGTAAACCCAGAAGGCCAGGGCTATTATAGATCCTGTGTTAAGTAAGCACAGCTATCAGAACATAAACTTCCCTAATGACAACCACAAATATTTCAGAATAAGGACACCAGACACAATCCATCCAGAAGAAATTATCTTCCTAAATACAGCACGTAGACCTTGGCTCTCCTACGAATCAGAGAACTGCGTGGAGAAAAAGACAAGATACTTTTGGAAAAAGTACCAAGTTCAAATGTCACAATGTATTTTTCAGCCCTCAAGAAGGGGGCTGAAACCACATCATTTTGTATTTGTTCTTCATGACCAGGAAAGTGGATGTGCAGCTTAGTACAGTGCCACATTAACATCAATACACACTTGAACTCACCCAGTGCTGGAGGCTATAGGCTCCTGCTGCCAGGCTCTGGTCACGAGGCACCTTCCTGCACCCGGAGCAGTGGCACAAAGGCTGATGAGCTGCTTGGACAACAGAGTTTGGTTGTGTGATCCACACCATGGCAACAGTTTGACATTCAGCAGTTCCAAAGTTGAATTATTACTACCAGGAGTGCTATTGTGTTCGTTTTGTTGTTTTAACACTCTCATACCGGCTTGAAAGACCTTAATGGCCCCCAACCTTAAAGGTAACATTGATCAGTAAAAGTCTGAGGGAGGAAGGGCAGAGGGGAGCATCAAAGTGATGCCCAGCATTCCTGGGTCAGCACTTTTGATGACCAAAGAGGTCCCCCTCACCCACTACATTTTATGGTCTCATCTCTGGTATTTGATTATCTAGTCTGCTTTAGGTCTTTCAGACAGAAGTTGAGAGGTCATGAAGTGCTGTCTTGATCTACGGCCCCATGCAGCATTATATAATAAAAATAACAAAAAGCATAAAATAATGTGCCACCAGTACCCTGGCCTCAATAGTATCTTCCACTTCATGGCTGCAAGTACAAATTTTCCACTTGCAACAGAAAATCTGTAAGAGGATCTGTATTATTGTGTTGTGCAACAGTATACTTCTCCTGAGGTAGTGTGACTAACCAAACTCGGACAAAAACATGCTAGAAAATTCTAAACGCAAGGCTTACGTTCTTTCCACTCATGTCACTCAAATTTATACAACTGCCATCCTCCTTCTCTTGGTCGGTAGTCCCCATCAGGAATACAAGTTTTGAAAAGCTGTAGACAGATTTATATTAGCAAAGGGTTTCCGGTGTGATCTCATCAGTAGTTTAAAATGATGCTACCACCACCACTCACAGCGTCAGTAACACACTGCAGCTTTCCTCAAAGGGCTCATACAGGACAAATGTTTATGTGCCAAGGTCCTGGCATCTGACTGATAGACCGATGTTCTTAAGTCTTCCAGGATACCTGTCTGTTCTTAACATATCTGGGTTTGTTGGTTTTTTTTGCAAAGCCACTAACAGGAGAGTTCTGGGGCTGTGAAATCCTGGTTCCCTTGAAGGCAATGACAAAACTCAGCCCAGCCCCCTCCAAGCCAGGGTGTCCCCCTTCATCTGCTGGCACTTGAGCTTCTAAACCCTGTGTCCCACAGAGCTCGCAGCACCTCTCACCACCAGACAGGGATGTGATTTAATGCTGTTACATACTGCATGAGATTCGCAATAGCATGGACGTGCTCTTCAGGGTAAAGGAAAAGGTGATTTTAACGTCCACTCGATATAATTATAGGGGCAGAAGGGCTCACATCACCGCACGTACCT